CAAATGCGACTTGCGACAAGGCAAATACAATTGCTTTCTCCTGAAAGTAAGAAATCCTAATCTCAATTTTTGTATATTGCTTTCTCCGGAAGGTTTGAAATTGTAATTTTCAATGTTTGTCACCACAACTAAACTGAATTAAGTTCTGGCGTCCCTGCAAGTAAACAACTCATGCAAGGACATGGAACAGTTATGCGCACAGTTTTATGAAAAATCATCAGATTAAATAAGACAAGGGACTACAGAAGATGATACTCATTCATCCACCAGAAATGGTGGACCAGAATACTTCTATATCAATTATCAAGTTTAAGGTCGACACTATTCAGTCAGGCAGCAAAATACATGCCCGCAGATGTACCAATCAAAGGAATCATGTCTTTCAAATTTCAATTATCAAAGGAAGAATGCATAAAATAAGGCATGAGGGGGGTACATTACTGAAAGCCACCAAATATTTACTGTACTGGAAGCTCCTTCTTGTGATTGAAATTAACAGAAGCATCAAGGAGATGCAATTAAGTACAAAAGTAGGGTCCTTTTCTAACAAAGTCCATCAGAGATTTACATCACTTACATGTTTAAGATTACACCAAAAACTAGATTTACTAAACATTAGTCTTCAAACTATGTAGACGTGTGGAGACTCCTTCAAAATATTGTTCCTGCACACTTGCAACGGTCAAATTGGTGTTTCATCAAAGTCACTTTTTAGGACTAAACTTCATAAATTAACGCAATATAATTACTATTCATAATATAATTCAATCCTCAAGAGGTATATTATGCCATTGAGCAACAATTCCAACTTTGCATAAATAATTTAAGGCAGTAATTCTTGTTATAAATGAACACGATTGACTAACAGTAAACTCACTTAAACTGTAAGTAAAGATAAAATTTAAATCTGAAAACTACAAAAGATAAATAATGAAGATGATCAATAGTTGTTTACCATGCCAGGTAGCTTTTCAATGAGCATGTAGGTAGCTATACAACGTGAAAGGGTAGCTGCACTTTCAACTATCAGACGCAACTTGAGGAGAAGCAAATTCTGAGATAAGATGTAAAAGGGTTCGGCTAGTAGCTCCAATATACATGCAAAACCTGCTCGATGGAAATAAAATTTCCAATAAAAATGAAGAAGTCAGACGAGAATTTTTCCAGAAAATTCACAAAATCAACTTCAGGGACAGTCCGATACATGATACATTCAAGTCTTGAACATCCAACCAGATGTAAGTAGGTAAAAAAATGGTTCTAAGCAGGTCCGGATTATGTTAAACTCACATTGAAGTCAAAGACATACAGCACATGAATAACAATTTTAGAAGGGCATACATACAAACCCTCACAAGTAACAGTTCAAAAGCCGAAAACAGAAGCAATCATGGAAACATAATTCTTTTTTTTGTTTTTTGATAAGTAACCATGGAAAGTTTAGTTTTCCTAGCTCACATTGATAACCAGCTCGTACAATAGGCACACAGCACAATTCTTTAAAAGACTGTATATCAAAGTTTAAGCTCACCATTTATCCATATAGCCTGTGCATATTGACTAGAATAACTTAGTTCTTGCCACCATAAAACAAAAAGGCATCCTGCAAATGTGACAATTATTCCCAAAGGGAGGGCCATTCATGCTACTTTCAACAGTTTTGCTGCATTTTCTCTCAGTGATCCGCCACTGCAATTTAAAGACAGTTACTTCCTTAAACTTCAAAAGCAGATCCAATATGTATATTTATTTATTTATTTCTAATGGAAGTCTTAAAGAAGAAACAGAAAGCCAGAAACAAAAGATAAAAGAACCTTCATGTACTCATCTTGCCGGAACTACACAATGTCGAACCAGATAGACTACACCCTCTATTTGCTTAACATAGGGGTCTGTTAGCTAATTGAAGTTTATATTAGGAGTGCCATCTAAACGGTCAAACATCTGAAATTTGGTTTCCTAAAATGTCGTATCCTCTTGCCATGTCTCACATATTTATTCTGAGAATTCAAAACCTTAGCCACCTATTAGCTCTTGTCATTGTCAAAGACCTCTAGAAAGTTCATGCTTATCCACAATGTCACAACTAATGGAAGTCCTTCTCCAGAAAGGACTTTTACATTGTTTATGTCGATGCTGAGAAAAAGCAACAGGAAAATGTAAAACCAAGTGGATGATTTTACAGGCTTTTTGAGCTCTTTGCAACTTAAATGGAAATCTTTGGTAATATACCTACCTGGTGCTTGTATAGTACAAATAAAGTAATGATTTTTTAAAGAAGTTATAATCTGGAGATTAGTTTCACCCCCATTACAATTGGTAAATAACAAGCATAATTAGGTAATGTGGATCACATAAAATAGATTTTCAAAATCTCACAGCAAAAGTCTAAAAGAACATTTTATTGACTGTGACCATCACAGCTTGACACAAAATATATGCTTACTACACGAGATGAGTACTGAAATCTTTAATTTCAATATAAAGAGAGAAAGAGTTGCAACAGGCTTCTATTGATTTGATAATTTTATTTATTGGAACTAAAAGAAATTCTGAAATGAAATACAAAGAACAGAACTAAAAGAAGCATAAAGAAAACATCCAATAGTACCAATAAATGTCGGCCCTCATGCATGCTCGCCTGAAGCCCTCTCGACTAAGAAAAAGCACACAAGTAATGAACAAGTGAAATTGTACAGCATACAACTGCATGATGCACAAAGAAGTGTTAGACATTTCATGTACATAAAACCAAGAAGTCAGGTTGAAAAGTACAATAAAACATATGAGTTAACTGATAACAATAAAACATATGAGTTAACTGATAACATGTTGAACTCACATCACCACAAACATCAAACAAAATTATGGTGAATCGATATGGTCCATATCAACATAGATGCTGTATTGTCCAGTTCACAACCAATCAGCCACAAAAGTTTATACAAGAAAAAGAGAAGAAAACAACTTAGAGCTTACAGCAAGAACAAGTGAGAGAATTCTTCTCATTATTTAATCCACCTAATTTAGTTGACTTCTCCCTATTCTCGTATTTCCATCATTCCATGGAGAGGCTGTAATCTTTTGTGATTCAAATTAAATCAACCTAGTAGCGCCAATACCTAAATAAAGTTACTAAGGAACCTCTCCAGAAAACTATTACATACTAACCTCTCCAGAAAACTATTACATACTTCAACTACTATTTCAGAATATACCCGAAATACTAACTCTAATAGAATGACCAATTCATACTTTCTTTTGTTCAAGTTTGATCACCTGTTCGGGCTCACAAACTTCTATTCAATATAATATAATATGAAATACCAAGAAACGAATAACAATTTCCCTTTTCTAACTTTTACCTATAGTAATCTTTCCAAATGTTGTATTCTCAACCCAAGAAGAGAACAAAGTAAGAAGAAACAACTCCAAACCAACTTATTAACAAAATTGCACCTACAAATACATTGACATATACATGAAACAACAAAAACAACAAAGCTTCAATCCCTAACTAGTTGGTGTCGCTGATAAGAATCTTCAAATATTCATATTTTTAAAAGGTGATGTCGGGGCCAGCTTGAGGGCACCTGAACTATTCCATTTGGTACCTGCAATCTCCCACCACCTATCAACACAGGTGCCAAGTAACTCCGCCTACCAAGTCTTAGGCAGAAGAGAAGAAATCACTTAGCAGTTTTTGTGTCCGCCAGATTTGAACTCTGGTCTCCAAGGACCAAGTTTCAAATTTACGTTTTTATATATAGTCATATACATAAAACAACAAAAACCACAAAGCTTCAATCACGAACTAGTTGGGCTCGCATATAAGAATCCTCCATATTCATTTTTTATGAAGGTGGTGTTGGGCTAGCTTGAGTACGCCTAGACTATTCCATTGGATGAGAATAAATCACATAGCATTTGTCATCTATCAAGGACCAAGGTGTGCCCACTTCATTGACCGCTATGCCACCCCTTGGATGTTGAATCCTCTAAATTAATGCTACTTTATATTTCCAGCAAAAAAAATTATTTTATTTGGGCTCATTCATTCCGATACTTGCTAAATTGTCTTTTAAATTTGCAAAACACCTTCTAATTGGATCACATACTCTACAAAAACAAAAGTACAAAAAAAAAACAAGGGTTAAAATAGAATAATACCGCATAGTCTTCTTCATTAAGGTGCCGAACGATCCAAGAGTTGAATATGAACGGTATTCCCCTTGATAAAAATTGAGTTGCTACAAATATGAACACATTACTGAACAAACAATGCTAAAAAAATATGAAAATTGAACAAATATAAGGTGAGAAGGAAAATTACTGGCCTAGCAAGTACTTGAATGTGTGAGATAAATTCACCGAGCGGTCTCCATTTTCAGTTGATTGAGAAGAAGATTTTGACATTGCCTTCTCTCTGTCGAAATATGCAATTTGGCTTGTTGAACGGCTCGATGTGAAATATATAGTGTGCAGTTGAACCGGTTTATTTGGAGGAATTCTAGCAAGAGCTTGTTTGGCTTACCTGAGTTAGAGTAACCGATAGGAATTAGGTGCTAAAAAGTACTTTTAAGTATTGGAGCTGATTTAAAAATTAAGCAGTTAAGTGTTTAGATAAAAGTGCTAAAATTATTAATAAGCAGCCGAAGAGTTTTGTTTTAAAAAAAAGTATTTTAGGGATATAATAGTAAATATTTTGGTCAAACTTAAAGTGCTTATAAACTTAAATTTGATAAGTTGGGGAGACCAACTTATGACTTTTAACTTATTTTTGGGTTATAAGCACTTAACTTATAAGCATTTTTAATTTTATTAAACATCGTAAATAAACCAAAAAGTACTTATAAGCCAGTTTGACCAGTAAACGTAGCTAAACAACCTCTTTTAACCTTGGAGAGATGGAGTCAGCCGCAATGCCCTTGGAGTCTTCCGATAGATGTTTAGTGTTGTTTGCGTCAATTTATATTAATTTACTACTAACAAATTAAGGTAAAAATGTTCATTTACTAAATGGAAAAAAAAATATGCATGTAACCTATTGAATTTGGCTTATAAAACTTACACGCACCTGGTGTTTACACCAAATCAATAGATATATAACATGTATTTTACATATGGACTTCAATCATTTAACCATAGTAAATTATATGCATTCTCATCTAATTAAATTAATTAACCATAGTGAGTTAATATAGTTTGGTATAAACACCCGATGTGGATAAGTATTTACCCCTTAAATACCCTCAATGTTACTTTGTGTTTTTGTATGTGTGTGTTTCTGATTTGTTTGGTCGTGAAATGGGGCGGGTTAATTATATGGAGCGCAGGTATTAGTGGGTTGGTCACGTATCAATAGAACAAAGCCCCACCTAGTCAACTGTTAGTGGCAGGGGCTAAGACAAAAAAACAACATTGAGGGCATTTACGATTCAATAGGTTAGGATCATTTTTAAGACAAAAAATAATAGGGAAGGATGGTATTTTTTAAGCCAAATTCAATATGTTAGGACCATTTTTGACCATTTGATGTTAAAATATGAGATTTATAAAGTATAAATACACCATAAGTTTTTATTGAGTTCTCTTTGGAGCTTCTACTTAACACCTTTCGGTTTTGTAAATAATAATATTAGTATTTTGAGTGTGGGCTGGCATTTTTAAAGCTTGAGTAATGAAGATAAAATGACTTATCTTCAAAGAACTCACTCGGATGAAGCTCATTCGGACCAATCGACACAGCATCATTCAGATGAGTAATGATATACTCCCTCCGTTTCAATTTATGTGAACCTATTTCATTTTTGGTCAGTGTCAAAAAGAATGACCCTTTCCTTATTTGAAAACAATTTACTTTTATGCAATGATTTATAGCCACACAAAATATATGTGCCTCATTTTACACCACAAGTTCAAAAGTCTTCTCTCTTTTCTTAAACTTCGTGCTCAGTCAAATGGGTTCACATAAATTGAAACGGAGGGAGTAATTGGAAGTGACATGTCTATTTTAATTGCAGCAACATTTAATGTCACGATTCAAAATTCACTAGTCATAATGGCACCTAATTCGACCCTTTAGGTCAGCCAATTAACAGTTAATACAATTCTAATAATAAAGGTGATCAACAAATAATATATCTGGATTCCATATAATATCTCAAAGATTAGTAGTACAAGTCGTGAGCTACTAAGGGTGGATTATTGTAAAACTTATATGAAACAAATATAATTTATGTTTGAAATATACATAAACAGAATTCAACTCTTAAACTACCCAAGGACAAGTGGTAGTCACACCCGGAAGACAGAACATCTTCAGAGTCAACTCCTGTCATCCATCACTGCTCCGTTCCAAGATTTGCACGCAAGGTGCAGAAGTGTAGTATGAGTACAACCGACCCCATGTACTCAATAAGTATCTTGACTAACCTCGGTGAAGTAGTGACGAGGCTTTCTAGTTAAAAGATTCTCACTGATATAACCTGTGCAGTAGACTAACAATAAAATAATACTAAAACATAACAGAAAAGAGTACAAGAAACAAATATGCGAAGCAGTAAATATTTACTAGAAGAAATCATGATTAATATTCCTTAATATTACGACCAATCCTTTCCTTAAAGCGATAACCAACAAACCACGGTAGTAAATTCATAACTTTCATAGTGTGAGAAATATATTCAAGATATCAAATCAATGATACGGCAACACCCTTCGTGCACTTATCTAATCCTCACCAAATATGCGTATAATAGTACCAACCAGGTGAAAGAAATGCCAATCAGTAATGACAAAGTGGGAAATACACAAGTAGCAATAACGATCAAGGCAGTACATGTGGACAACGACAATAGACTAGGTAGAAGGCATGGGAGTAATGACAGGAATTAGGAAAGAACAACATAAATTTCACGAATTAACATCATAGAAGGCGTAGATGTAGATATAACAAACAAGAGGTAAAGCATGTTCTTTATGAGCTAACAAATAGGAGGCATGAATAATTAACACGGTAGAAGGCTTATACGAAAGTGCAACAAATAAGAAATGATATTGTTGATACCCAATTTTTTTCTCATATATATATACTTTCAAATAGTGCATATGCATCATCATCATCTGATTTATAAGCATACATAAATATTTTTCATAATTTTTAAAGGCTTTAAACCAATTTATTCGTGCATTTTTATTATATATAAATATTCAGTAATTATCATTCAAATTATTTTTATGAAGATTTAATCATCTAAATTTATCATTTATACCCACATAATGTTTAAATATTTTTCAGTGCATTTTTATAATTACATTTGTATTTTTAAGGTTAAACTGTACATCTGTGCAATGATAACCCATATTAATGTATAATTACATTATTTATGCAGAAAATAACTTTTTATATTTTTATAATATTAAGTACTTACTTTTAATCATTTTAGTGTACAAATGATATTTTTTTTATTTATTAATTACTTTTATAATTATTTATTTATTAAAACGTTGGGTATTTAAAAACTAGCCTAATTCTAAACCCATTTTCGGACTTAACTACGTAAACCTTGGCCCAATAACCCCAACCCAATCCTAAACGACCCATCCCAGTCTAAAACCGACCCAACCCCTTCTCAAATCCCAGGCATTGATAAAAAATGATCAACGGCTCACAAACGCCTCCCCCTTTTCCTTATATCACTCAACCCCAAACCCTAACCCTATTCCCTCCAAACCGCCTCCTCTCTATTCTCTCCTCTCTGAAGAACCCTAACCCTCCGCCTCTCAAAAATCTCCTCTCCTAATCTCTCTTCTAATGGGATTTTCTTCCCATTCACTTACCATATCCATATTTTCCATTACTAGGTGATTCTCTATGGTATTACCTAGTACTTGCCTAAACATGGTAAGTACTCTCACTTTGATTCTGTCTGATTGACTTTCACCTCTTGAAGCTGGATGATATTGCGTCATCACATGTTTATTATCCACCGTGTGAGTCCGATTTGTTCATATTTTGCTGATTCGTATTTAACCCTAAAGGTAGGATTTATAGATTTTCTGTGATTCGAACCAAATTGGTTCAAGCCTTTGATTTTAATGTATTATCTCGTCTATATTCACCATATTATGTGTAAATTTATTTATTTCTACCGATTTTACTTTACTTACCCTAAATTGGGGTTTCAAATTCTTTTAAATCGAACTAAATCTGGTTCAATTCTTTGATTTTGAATAGTATTCCTGTCTATGTTCATCTTATTCTATGCAGCATGTGATTCTTTTGCCTTTTATTTCTGCCGATTTGTGTATTTTACCTAAAAATTCGGGTTTTAAATTTTTTCCTTCCTTACTGATTTTAAATGCTTTCCTTTCCAGTGTTTGACTAATTATTTCCATGTTTATGTGTTCAATTCCTACACTATATAAACCCCTCCCATGCCCTTTGAAACAGTTCGAAAATCATTAAGAAAAGTATATATCTCATATCAAGGATGGATCCTCTGAAATACATTTTCCAAAAACCAATGCCTACAGGGAAACTAGCAAAATGGCAGATATTGTTGAGTGAATTTGATATTGTCTATGTGACTCAGAAGGCGGTCAAGGGACATACATTAGCAGATAATCTTGCGGAAAATCTTGTAGGAGGAGAATACGAACCATTGAAATCATATTTTCCCTATGAAGTGGTATCATTTGTAGGAGAATATATCGCTGAAACCTACAACGGTTGGAGAATTTTCTTCGACGGGGCTGCAAATTTCAAAGGAGTGAGTATTGGAGCTATTTTGGTGTTAGAGACAGGTCAGTATTATCCGGTATCCGCAAAACTCAGATTTTTGTGCACCAACAATATGGCAAAATATGAGGCTTGCATCATGGGGCTCAATTTGGCCATTGAATAAATATCCAGGAATTGCTGGTAATTGATGATTCAGACCTTCCGGTACATCAGGTTCTAGGAGAGTGGGCTACCAAGAATACCAAAATATTTTCGTATCTGTATCACGTAGAAGAGTTGATGAGGAGGTTCGCGAAAATAAAATTCAAACATATCCCGAGAATCTAGAATGAATGCACTGGCTGCTTTGTCTTCCATGATATAACATCCAGACAAAAATTTCATCGACCCTATTCCAGTAAGAATCCATAATCAGCCAGCTTATTACACTCATGTTGAAGGAGAAACGGATGGATGGAAACCCGTGATTTCATGATGTCAAAGAATACTTGGCAAAAGGAGAATACCCAGAGCACGCAAATCATACTCATAAATGCACGCTCTGAAGATTATCCAATCATTTCTTCCACAGTGGAGGAATTCTGTACAGAAGGACTCCAAACCTAGGATTATTACGGTGTGTTGACGCCCCAGAAGCTTCCAAACTGCTCGAAGAGATACATGCCGGAACTTGCGGACCACACATGAATGATTTCGTTTTAGC